TTAAAAAATAAAATAATCTGGGCTTTGAGAGAAATGGGTGGAGGGGCCTCTGGATGTCTCAGCTGATTAAGCATCTGCTTGGGTCATGATCTCAGGCTCCTGGATGGAGCCTTGCATAGGTCTCCCTGCTCAGCAGGGAGTCTGCTTCTCCTTCTCCCTCTGCCCCTCCTCCAATAACGAAATCTTAAAAAAAAAAAAAGAGAGAGAGAGAGAGAGAGAGAGAAAGAAAGAAAGAAAAGGGTAAACATCAATATACAGGAATAGAGGGTTGTTCATTAGACTATTTTTTTTAAAAAAATAGACTGGATAGTTTCTGTAACAAAAGTTAAAAATGAGTATATTCCATCACATTCTGCTTTAAGTCGACTAGATTTTTTAAATCACTTTGGGTTACATAGTAAATGTGGAAAAGTTAAAATCTTATACCAGATATTTAGAAATTCTTAATTTATAGAAATATATGTGTATAGGTCTAGCTAAGGAAAATTATAAATAACCTTCAGTAATCTCTTGGGAAATTTAGAGTATGAAACTATGTATTTTACATGTATATGCAAGCATCTTCCTCATTCTTTTAGGTTTCTTGTAATGAACATTCTAGACTTTGAAATCAAACAAAATTAACCATGGTATCATGGTTAATATTATAAAACAGCATTGTCCAAAATGATAGCCAATGGCCAGATGCAACTATTTAAACGTTAATTATAAATAAATTACAATTAAGATTCAGTTTCTCAGTCCTATGAACCACATTTCAAATGTTCAATAGCTGTATGTGGCTAGCAACTATATTATAGTACTTGATGGATAGAGTACTTTTATTGTAGCATAAAGTTCTATTGGGTGACACTGCTATCGAATATTACCAATGTTTGGAGTCGACCATTTATCTTCTCTGTCTCTACATCAATCTCTTTTAGTTGTTTTGGTCAACAATGAAAGTTTTTCCCTTAAGAGTCATACAGTACCAGTCCGCTAAGTGTCGTCAGATGATAGTTCCCATTTTTAACTAAAGACGATTTCCTGTTGCCTGGGGCTTGACAATTCACAAAGAGACCAGAGATGACAGAAACACAAATAATATAGGATTAGTAGGATTAAAGTGTGGGGGGAAAAAAATGACAACTGAGTGAAAACGTGAAAGAGTGAGTTTGGAGCAAATATGCAAAAAGCATCGTAGATTACTTTGTCAACAGGAACTAGTGTCATTAAAAAAAGCTTGGCAGGTGTTTTATTCTCACAGAAGGAAAAACTACTTACTGTAATAGAAGATAGCATTACATAGGGCCTTGCTTTACATACTGATTTCATTTAATAAAAAAGGAATCAAGACTACCTTTTAACTCTACCATATATACATAATATTTGTTCATACACACACACATACACACACACGTATTTACATACATATTTTCTCACTTATTTTTTAAATTCAAGTTATTTAAACTAAAATACCAATTCACCCATTTCTCCCACTCCCCATCCCTCACTTCTGGCAACCACCCACCTGTTCTCTTTATCAATGAGCTTATTTTATATATAAAATACATTTATTAACGTATGTAAGTATATGATTTAATTCTTATTATGTATTTAATTATATATGATTATATAGTATTACCTATATTATTATTTTACTTTGCATAATGCCCACAGGTCTATCCATATTGTCCCAAATCGCAAGATTTCATTCTTTTTTATGGCTAAATAATATTCTGCGTATATACACACATACAATTCTTTACTCATTCATTGATGGGCCCTTGGGTTGTTTCCATATCTTGGGTATTGTAAATAATGCTGCAGTGAACATGGGGGTGCATATGTCTTTTCAAATTAGTGTTTTTATTTTCTTTGGATAAATACCCAGAATTGGAACTGCTGGATTATATTGTAGCTTTATTTTTAATTTTTTGAGGAACCTCCATACTTGTTCCATAGTGCCTGCTCCAATTTACATTTCCACCAACAGGGCTCAACCGTTCCCTTTTCTCTACATTTTTGCCAACAGTTGCTATTTCCGGTCTTTTTGATAACAATCATTCTGTGTGTAGTGATATCCCATTGTGAGTTTTTTTTCAAGATTTATTTATTTATTTGACAGAGATTGAGAGAGTACAAGTAGGCAGAGAGGCAGACAGAGAGAGAGGGGGAAGCAGGCTCCCCGCTGAGTAGAGAGCCCAATGTGGGGCTCCATACCAGGACCCTGAGATCATGACCTCAGCCTAAGGCAGAGGCTTAACCCACTGAGCCACCCAGGCAGCCACCCCCCCCCATTGTGAGTTTTTGATATGCATTTCCCTGATGATTAATTATGTAGAGTATGTTTTCATGTACCTGTTGGCTATCTGTATACCTGTTTTAGAGTCTTCTGCCTACTTTGTAATCACATGATCTTCTGCTGTTACATTGTATGAGTTCCTTATATATTTTGGATATTAGTCATTTATCAGATAAATAATTTACAAATATTTTCTTCCATTCAGTAGGTTGCTTTTTCATTCCGTTGATGTTTCTTGTTTTGAGTTTCTGTTGCTTTGGTTGGTTGGTTGGTTTCTTTTTTTGCTATGCAGAAACTTTTTTTTTTTTTTAAAAGATTTCATATGCAGAAACTTTTTAAGTAGATGTAGTCCCAATTCTTTATTTGCTTTTGTTGCTTTTGCTTTTGGTAACAGATTTAAAAAGTCACCACCAAGATCTATGTCAGACAACTTGTTACCTATGTTTTCTTTTAGGAGTTCTGTGATTTCAGGTCCTTCACATTCACGTCTTTAATCTATTTTGACTTAAATTTTTGCATGTGGTGAAGGATAGTGGTCCAGTTTCAATCTTTTGCAATAGGCTGTCCAATTTTCTCAGCAACATTTATTAAAGAAGCTGTCTTCTCCCCCACTGAATATTCTTGACTCCTTTGTCATAATATATATATATTCTTTTATTCTCAGTCTGGTCACCTAAAATAGTCAAGATACTAAAAACTGCTTTTAATATCAAAAGAGAAGTATAGTTTCCTAGTTAATGAGTTCACATTTGCAGGATTTACTTCATACAATTCTTTATATTATGCTATGTATAAAATAAAATTAGTTGATATTTAGTATTTTGGAAAATTAAAATTTTCAACAAATAAGTATTTCTAACACTTAAAACATCCATTTAAAAGTAAATATTTGAAATTATTTACTTTTTTCATAGATGGTTATCTAAAATTTTATGATCATTTTTTGCCTTATTAAGTAAATTGTAAGAGTAATGTTTAATACTTTCTCAACTAACTGGCCTGATAATCATGCCCAATAGTTTTCACAGTAATTCTAACACAGTATGGACCCCACGACTATTGAGGTTAGGTTTGCGTCTGAAGTAACAGCTATCAGTAAATTGTGATTCTGAAGCCCATTATACACTTTTTTTTTTCCTCCTTGTAAAGTGTCACTTCACAGTAGATCAAATACTAACACTTCTTGTTTTCTTAACAAGTTTCACTATCATTTTGGTAAGAAATCAAGGTTTCCGAAAGAACCAGACGGAAAAGTTTGTTAAGTGAATACACTTAACTCTACATGAACTGCCAAACCATTGGGTTGTTATTTGAGGGTTGGACATGCCGCCTCTACAGAGCTCCTGGGCTTTATGACAATCTTCTTCTTCATTCTTCCAAAGGTGTTCTTATTTATTTCCTGTGAGGCTGGAACCTAAGTCTGGATATAACTGATGTTGTGAAAGTGGGTTGCTGCCATGCTTCAGGAAACTATCAGTGTCTTTTTAGTTATGTTGATTCAAAACTGGGGGGAGAGCTGTAGAAATGAATGGAAAGGCAGAATTAATGTAAGAACTAACTTTAAGAACCAGAAGTTTTCTTAAGGTATTCTTGACAGAAACCAAGAATAATCTCTTCCTTAAAAGCAAAAATATGTGTGAAGTATTCACCCCTATTTACTTGATTTCTTATAACTTGCCTCATGTTAAGAACATTTGCAAAATATTTTACGCATTTGCTAAATGTATCTTATTGTACACTAGCAAATGTTAAGTTGAATGCTATGTGTATAGTAAAATAATTTTGAAAACCATCTACTTACCTAGTAAAGGAAAAGGGTAACTTTAAGTTCCAGTCTACTTGGTAAGATTTAAAATTTTTTATCATTAATAAGTATTAAGTTGTCTTGAAATTAAATCCCTTTGTATGTTTTTGAGGGAAATAAAAATAAACAATTTGCTTTTACTGATTGCTTTTTAAGTAAATATGAGTGAGCCATAACAAAAAAGAAATCTACACAGAATTATGAAAGCATTCAGAGGCAGATATCCCTTTGAGAGAAAATTACTTTTTTTTCTTTTAAGAAAGGAAGATGGTTTTAAATTCTCAGCAAGGAGTCACCATCTCAATTAAAAATGATTCTGAATAGGGACTTATAAGCTGCTAGTTCATTTCATTTATGTTTTGGCCATTAGAACAATATATTAGCAGAAACTAAAGTGATAGGAAATTAGTTTGAATTCTTTTTAGAAATAATAAAGAATAAGAGAAAATTTTTTTCTCAAATACTGTGTCCTATTCTTTACATGTAATATTTGAATCTCTTATTACCAGTTACATAATCAAAGAGTCAAAGGCCCAAACTGGTCTTGGAGTGAGTATATCTGATTGATCAGGTAGATGGTGCTTTACATGTTCAGTGACAGAGGAAGATTGTATCCGTTGAAAGTCCTTAGAGTGAAAAACATTTATTCACATTTTCAATACAGACTGGTTTTTACCTGTGTGAGGAGAGTAAAGATATCTTCTGTTTTTATTTATCTGATATGACTCACTGTTTGAAACAGACCGAGACAGCCAGATTGGAGTGAACAGAGCTTTTTAGTAATTGTTCTTTATGAGTGTGCACTGTTTCCAGGAGATACCCATGGGCTAATGTTTGCAGTTCTCTTTAATATTAAAACATAATAGCTCTCTCTCGCGCTCTCCGCTGCTGTAGCTGGACCCTTCGCCTTCGCCTTCGCCACCGCTCAGCATCTGCACATCCCTACAATGGCTAAAACAGCAATGGCCTACAAGGAAAAAATGAAGGAGCTGTCCATGCTGTCACTGATCTGCTCTTGCTTTTACCCTGAACCTCGCAACATCAACATCTATACTTATGACGATATGGAAGTGAAGCAAATCAACAAACGTGCCTCTGGCCAGGCTTTTGAGCTGATCCTGAAGCCACCATCTCCCATCTCAGAAGCCCCACGGACTTTAGCTTCTCCAAAGAAGAAAGACCTGTCTCTGGAGGAGATCCAGAAAAAACTGGAGGCTGCAGAGGAAAGAAGAAAGTCTCAGGAGGCCCAGGTGCTGAAGCAATTGGCAGAGAAGAGGGAACATGAGCGAGAAGTCCTCCAGAAGGCTTTGGAGGAGAACAACAACTTCAGCAAAATGGCGGAGGAAAAGCTGATCCTGAAAATGGAACAAATTAAAGAAAACCGTGAGGCTAATCTAGCTGCTATTATTGAACGTCTGCAGGAAAAGGAGAGGAATGCTGCCGAGGTGCGCAGGAACAAGGAGCTGCAGGTTGAACTTTCTGGCTGAAGCGATGGAGGGATGGCACGCCCCACTGTTAGTAAATCCCCCTGCCTATATTATAATGGATCATGCGATATCAGTATGGGAAATGTATGACATGGTTTAAAAAGAACTCATTATAAAAAACAAAAAACAGAATCAAAAATTAAAAAAAAAATTCAATGCGGTCTCTTTGCAGAATGTTTTGCTTGATGTTTAAAAAATACCTTGGATCTTATTTTGTAAATACTTACATTTTTGTTAAAAAATACAAGTATTGCATTATGCAAGTTATTTCATAATCTTACATGTCCTGTAACAGGCTTTTGATGTTGTGTCTTTCCACTCAAATGAATTTGCTAGGTCTGTTCTTTTTGAAGCCCTCATGTTGAACTCCATTCCCTGCCCTTTTCACTCCAACAGAAAAATGAGGTCAGTAGACAGTCCATGGTGCTAGAAACCCACCATTGCCTAATGACCTAGACGGCTTTGTAATCTCTGAACTTGACTAAGACCATGCCTAGGTTACAGGTATTAATTACAATTCCACGCAAACCTCCACATTTGTTCACTCATAATCTACTAACTGCCTAGAAACTACAAAACCAGGCTAAGAAAAAACAAACACACACCAATCATAGCATTTACTTCTGCTTCTACTGGATTATGTGCTACAAATGTGCTTTGGCTTTAGAAAGGGATGGATGAGAAGACAGATCTGAGATCAGTCTGGGTAGAAGCAAAACGTTGAACCTTTTAAAACTGCTGAACACAGATCCAAATCCCAGTGGTTCAAGCAGCCACGAATTCGCTCTTCATGAAGTGGGCTTAATTCTCTAGTTTAAGTTCTTTTGATGGAATGAATTACTTAATGTGTCAGGTGGCTTATTTGTGGATGCCATGATTGATGATGTCATTTTAAGCTCTTACCTATAGTACAAGTACATGATGCTACTGAATATTTTTCCACTTGGAAACTGTGAGCTGGTTGTTGCATTAAAACACACATACGAGGGGTGCCTGGGTGGCTCAGTGGGTTAGGCTACTGCCTTCGGCTCAGGTCATGATCTCAGAATCCTGGGATCGAGCCCCGCATCGGGCTCTCTGCTCAGCAGGGAGCCTGCTTCCTCCTCTCTCTCTCTGCCTGCCTCTCTGCCTGCTTGTGATTTCTCCGTCAAATAAATAAATAAAATCTTTAAAAAAAAAAAAAAAAAAAACCACACATACGAACAAGGTCAAAAACACTGTGGACTTTCACTCAAGCTGGTCTTTCTTCCCCAGTGTGAGGCAATCCTGCCTGTTAAAATAAAAAGAAACTCCATCTGTGAGGGCTGGTACAGCTAAGGGGGCTAGGCAGGGCATTTGTGCCAACTAAGAATCACCAGACACCCACCATAAGTACCTATCGCAGTTTTGAAGTCGTTTCTCCCCCAAATCCCAACTCCTGAAGGTTGCTGCCTGCATATTTACTCTTCATTAGTGCTATTTTCCTGTGTCATTGTGAGCAAGCTGTGATTAATAAAGAATTGGAGTTCTGTGAACTAAAAAAAAAAAAAAAAACAAAAAAACATAATAATCAGCATGCTAAAAATATCACCTTTTACTCCCATAGATACTAATAACCATGTTATTAAAGATATTGAGGGCCCTCCATTTTGGTGATAGAGGTTCAAGCCCTCTTGCATTTTGTCCATCCTGTCACCCAGGGCTGCCAGTCTGCAGTAGGACCATTTTTTCCTGCAGGAACGTAGGGGGTGATTCATCTTGTTTACCTGAAACAGATCACCTAAGATAATTTGTTTTTGTTGTTGTTGTTTGTTTTTTTAGAGTAAGCCTGAGCCGGAGTGGGGTGTGTGGGTGGAGGAGAGGGGAAGAGAGGATCTCAAGCAAGCTCCTCGCCCAGCACAGAGCCTGATGCAGGGCTCAGTCTCATAGCCCTGAGATCATGACTTGAGCAGACATCAAGACTCAGATGCTTAACTGAGCCACCCAGGAACCCCTGTCCCCTAAAATAGTTAATGCCAAACTGCACAGCCAAACATGACACCTCTAAAAATTATTCATATAAAAATGAGCTATCTTTTATAAAATTACTGAACTCTACCAAAGTATTTAAAAATTTGTTCCTAAGTTTTGAAAATAAGGTAATTCCAGTTTCAAGACCTAAGAAGAAAATGAAACCAACCTGAATGACATTAGATTCTGGACATTTTATGGTGTTAGGTATTTAATATTGGCCCATTTCATTGCTAAGATTTGCAAACATCAGTAGCTGAATCTTTATAATGAAGAAGTTGAATTCTCCATATACATTTCTGAAAAGTGCTAGTGACAGAAGGCAGCACGTAGTAGAGTTGAGGGGCAAGTGAGACAGTGACTGGAATAGTGTATCTTCTGTTAAGGGAGGACCAAGGACAAACTGGGAACCTAAGGGGGAGAATGGAGCTAAGTAGAGCCATTAAATCAGAGTTTATCAAGAGCCACATAGGATGAGAAAAATATTATCACTGGTAGTTTCTTTTACAAACTCAAGTATAATGTGTGTAGACACCTAAGTCATGTGCAGTGAAGTCAGCTCAGTTCCTCCTATTACTCAGTTTTCCTTCTTTTAAAAAAATTGTGTCTAATGCCATTTCTTGTTTTCACTTTTGAGTTAGCATTTTTTTTTCAGACAAGGACTACAACTTTTTTTTTTTTCTTATGGTCTCAAAACTGATTTACATAGAGAATGATAATAGTGACTCAAATGGTCCTCACTTAACAGTATATTGCTGCCAACATCACAGATAAAAAGATGTGTTCAAGAAGAAATCCTTTCCTTGTACCCATACTTAAAAAATCCCCCCGTCATCGGAATCTGATAGAGAAGGTAAACTTTTTCAAAGAAAGAGCTTATATATTTTGCAGTAAATAAAGATAAAGTGTGCTTAAGTTTTTGCCTTTATCATGTTTACCACTTATACTTTTATGTTTATTTGATACCTGGGGAAATGTGACTTCAACTTCAATCCAAAATGTGTTGTGGATTTATACTTCAATAAGTTTACATTAAAAATACCTAAATAGCACAGTAGAAAAAGAATATTCAAGACGTCAAAATGTCTTTCTGTGTATCATAGCTTCTCTTTGAAGAGCTGGGTTAGTAATAAGAACTTAGAGATGTTTGATTCTTTACAGTTCATAATAAACTTTGTAGAGGAAAAATAAAAAGATAATGATAATAGTAATAATATTCTCAGTTCTCAGATGTGCTGAAAAAGGCCAAATGCTCCTAAACACCAATAAATAGAAGGCTCTTTTGAATTCATTGAGTATGCCAGAATCCCATTACCCTTTTGTCTAGGAGTGAACAGTGGAGTTTTCTCTCGTAGATTCAGATCATGTATTATGAGATTCTGCAAACTGTCGGGAAGGAATGATGCAGTAATACCACACCTGGAACTAGAAAGATGTATCGTATCTGGAACAGCTATGTTGGACAAAGTTTTTGTTTTGTTTTGTTTTTTGTTTTTTGTTTTTCAACGTATACGTTCTCTGTTTGATGTGATTATTTTTTTCTCTATTTCTTCTGAAAGCTTGTGTATGGGTACATACATACACATAGATACTGTATGAAAACATGTTCTTATTATATTTGAGTGTGTAGTTAACTAGACTAAGGGGACTTCTTAAATGAATGGGCGTGATTTATTCCCTTATAAAAGGGAAGACTGATGGTGTTAACATTGAACATTTTCTTTCCAAATGAGGCTTACATTTTGAATGACACCATAAGACCTTCAAACACTTTTGATACATATTGTAAAAGATTAGGGTATATTTCTGTTCCAGGGCTGAGCTAGCTTCTGAGGATTTTTGTGAGCCTTTTCATTTTGCCCTTGGCTGACTCAGTTCTGGGAATAGTGTGGGATAGATATCTGAACCAGATTGCTTTTGGAGAGTCCCCACCATTAAAATAGTCTTTACTGGCTTAACTTGTGAATAACCTTATACATACCAAAAGCAAAGAAGCAAAAATAAAAGTATAAACATTTTCCCTACACATGATTATAATGAGGTTGATTGTTAATAAGAGGAATTTGTGAAGATATTTTTTTCTTTTGAAATGGAATAGATTTTTATTGTACCTGGGGATGGATGTCCTTTGAATGCATTTCAGATGTGTTTTTCATATGCTCAAGACTAATATGGTAGCTTTCCTTTAGCAGAAGAATTTTCTGCTATGCCCATTCTTGCCCAGCTGACCTAGCATTTTACATTAATTGATGTCTCAATTTACTGATCAATCACAATTTATCTAAAACCCCCATGGACCATGTTTGCAATACAGAGTGATGCCATCCAAGGATAAGAATTCTCTTGAATGAGGCTCAGTTTACTGTCACATAGTGATGCAGTGAGAAACAGAAAAAGTGTTTTCCAACATTGCATCCTTCCCTTAGTGTGACATGGACAGAATGGTAAATAGTCTACTTTGGTCCACATGTGTGATTCACATTCAAAATATTTTCTTGGTCCCAAATTCATGGACAAATACATTTCATGTGATTAAAATGTTTAAAAGTGTTTCTTTTACCCTTGCATTTTATTTGTCTGATCTATATTTTTTTCCTGTGCAATAAGCTGATAAATATTCTAGCCAGGTTTTTTTATTTTTTAATAATTCTTTTTGCCTTTCTTTTGTAGCTTTTGACTGACATCTATTCACTTCAAGGGTGATTTTCTTGTTGGCAAGATGCAGAAGAGACACACCAAGCATCACCTTCAGGAACAAGCAATTTAAGTACTATAATGAGATGGGTCTTTTCAGAGTCTATAATTGGTGACAAGGTATGGCAGCTTCATATCAGACAAAGATGTACAACACAGAGCTTATTAATGAGGATGGAGCGTCATACTCAAGAAAGCTTCCTGTGACTATGAGACAGGAGAATATAACAGATAGTGTAGGTTGTTACTAAGTCCAATATCTCCAATTTGCATCATAAAACCTTTATGTAAGCCAATTCAAGCTAATCCAGAATGGGCTATTTTCCCCCTTTAGAATTCACTAGGGTAGCCAGCAATCCATCACTTTGGATCCCAGCCCTCCCAGACAACAGCAATAATCATCTAAACTTGCAGATATGCTCAATTTAATTGGGTTAGTTTAGTAACCTTCCTTGTATTAGAGCCAACTTGCAAAGAGATATAATATTTTCACAGTTATGAAGACATAGCAGCTGGCCATAGTAAGATTTGATTGTGGATCAAGAAATCAGATTTTCATCAAGTTAAGAACTCTTCATGGAAATATATATGGAATAAATAATAAAGTAAAATGATTAACAGGGAGACCTACAAAGATATTGGCAAGGCATACAAAAACTGCCTTACCAATAATGCTGAAATCTGCTACTCAGCTTACTCTGATAGCTTTTTACTAGTATTTTTGGGGAAGAATATTAGTTTTAAATAAAACCAAAAGATGAAGAAGAAGATAATGAAATGATATATTAATATTGAGAAGCTTTATGAAACTTCAAGATGCTGAAATTATTTTGTAAATGCTAATTTATTAGCTTTATACAATTTTCTAAAAAAAAAAGGTAACAGTGTCTTTTTTTTAACATTCTTAAACACTTAAA